TATATATACATATATGTGTGTGCAAAATGGAATCATAAAATGGCTTAGGTTTGAAGGGACTTTAAGTTCTTTTGAGACTTGCACTAGACGAGGTTCCTTAGAGCCCTTTCCAACCTGGCCTTGAACACTTTCAGGGATGGGGCATCCCATATGCCATCCCAAATCATTGAATCATAGAACGGCTTGGGTTGGAAAGGACCCTAAAGATGATCTAATTCCGATCCCTGCCATGGCTATGGACACCTTTCACTAGAATTAGACCAGGTTGCTCAAAGCCCCGTCCAAACTGGCCTTGAACAGTTCCAGGGATGAAAAAGAGAAGGCTTTGGGGTGACCTAATTTCAGCCTTCCAGTACCTGAAAGGAGCCTACAGAAAGATGGAGAGAGACTATTTAAAATACAAGGGCATGTAGTGACAGGACAAGGGGGGATGGCTTCAAGCTCAAAGAGAGTAGGTTTAGGTTAGATATTGGAAAGAAATTCTATGAGGGTGGCGAGGCACTGGGACAGGTTGCCAAGAGAAGTTGTGGATGTCTCGTCATTGGAACTTCCAAGGCCAAGTTGTTTGAGGCTCTGAGCAACCTGGTCTAGTGGAAGGTGTCCCTGCCCACGGCAAGGGGATTGGAATTAGATGATCTTTAGAGCTTCTTCCGATCCAAGCCATTCTATGATTCTGTGATACAAGTGCAAGTTTTGGTATGTGATCTCAGCGGTTTAATAGGTCTTGTTCTATGCACAAATTTCTGTCTGGTTTCTAAAGCAAACTTCTAGGTAAAGAAAAAAAAAAAGTTATACGTGTCCTTCCACTACGGGCAGCACAATAACAGCTTTTCATTACTGAAACGGGTGTTCTTCACCTACTCCAGAGCAGGCAAGTCAACATACCAGAGCCACAGTAATGCAAATAGGAGGAAGAGCCACAAATTTGTTGGAGTCTGCTAAGAGTCTGCAACGACTTGCTAATGCTGATTGTCCTGTAAAACATCAACGAAGTGTTAATCGTGAGAGACAGCAAAATGCTCAAGTCTCTGCAGGCTGTGCCTGAAGGCTATGTTTATGGAACACATTAAAAAAAAAAAAAAAGACAGTTTTGCATGTTTATGCTCTTACAGACAACTAAAATCTCACTAATTTTCTCTTGTAGTTAACCTGCCTCTCTAAAAGAACTTCCAGTGATACTCTTAAGTTTTTGCTGCTGACTAATCTCTGTAAGTGCTCTGTTTTCTTGTTAAGCACCTTTTCTGCATGAGTAGTAAATAGAGCTTTTAAATTCTGTGTCTGTCAGTGCAGTGAAAGTAGTCCGGGTTCTACCACCTGTTTAAATTGGGTATCCCTAATTTAAACTTGGGTATTTTGCATGCATTTGTTTCTGTTTTTTTTTCTAGACTATCTGTTGTGTAGTTGTTTTAACGTTTGCGTTTCTTCTAACAGCTTTTTTGGAAGAGATGAGGCTGATACTTCTAAGCGTGTTAAAAGGTATATTGCAATCATGACCAGGCTGGGTTTTGATTTGCAATCACGGCCTTGATTGTAGATTTTTAAGTAGAAATGTCGTTCTAGTCTGATCAGTTTCCAAGTGGAAATAGGTGAGCAGGGAAATGAAGATGGGAATCCAGATTCCCATCAGTGTCATCATAAACACACCGTGTAGATGTTATTTTATTTCTTTCTGCTTCTCAAGGAACCTTGTCATGCAGAGCATGATTTTTAAAGACTTTGTAAGTCTAGGTGTTTGAGAAATGTCAGGGTGCCCATTAGTGGTGTGGTTTTGATTATATATCTATATTATGAGCATATTCCATTTGCTCTATGTGCCTTTTATGGGACTAGATGTTTAAATAATAAGTGTTTTATTCCTTTCTTTTCTAGTCACAAGCATAACAATGGTCAACCCATGTGGTTTACACTTGGCATAAGGGAAGCTCTCAAAGGCTGGGACAGAGGTTTGAAGGACATGTGTGTGGGAGAGAAGAGGAAGCTAACTATTCCACCAGCCCTTGCTTATGGAAAAGAAGGGAAAGGTAAAACAGCGGAAGCCTTTCCCATACTTCAGTTGCTTTTAATCTCTGTATTTTACTGTTGTTCTTGGCCTAAAAGGGTAGCAAGCTTTCCAGGCAGATTCCGTTAAATAAGAAAAATTGATAGAGTCAGGTGCTCTTTCTCATCAATTTATTTTTGGCAGAAATAATCAGTAAGTCGTTATGTGGTGAATGCAGGGGAAAAAAAAAACAAGAAATTGATGGTAGCTGCTGTGCTGTATGTTCTGCCCTTGATAGTGCCCTGCTTTTTTTTTTGCTTTGCTTTGGGTTTTTTTCTCTTTTTTTTCAGTCAAGTGGAGGTGGTTGCTCAGGTAACAGTTGGCTTTTTGGCCGTTGCATCTGTTTTTGTGGTAATGCTTCATGAATGTGCATGTGCAAGCCTCATTCTTGCAGGTGTCTTTTAAAACCCTAAGAAACTCCCTGTACTGCTGCCCAACCAGTTTTTTAGCTGATACAGTGAAAAGTCACTATTTATTTATCCATATAGGGGCATTATTCTTTTCCTCTTATAGCTGTTTTCAGTGTGGGCAGTGGTCCCTGTTATCCATAGTAAGATGTGCAGAGGCATGGGCAGTCACGTTGTCACGTACTGAAAATGTGCTGAACGGTGTGCAGGCAGATAAAAGTCTTGCTTGTAGGGTTTTCTCAACCTGTCCACTACTGATGGTGTTTGGGGGTTTTCCTTTCAGTGTTTCCAGATTCCTATTTTAATGGGAGGGCGGGCCAGATTTGGAAGGTATAGTTAAGGAAGTGATGTCTTGAATGATGTGGGAAAGCTCTACTTCTGCTTTACAGGGTCTGTTTTAGTTAACTTTTTTCGAGCAAATATTATGAATATTTTTGTCATGACAAGAGTTGCCTCAAAGGACTTATGGTAGTGCAGGTTTCAAAGCAGAAAGAATAAATGTCTGGGACCATATAGTCCATCCTGCTAATGTTGTCTCCGATTAATATGAGACCGTTGTAGGTGTGAGGAGTGTTTGCATGTCTGTATCTTCTGGCAAGTAGGGCTGAACACAGGCTAAGTAGTACTCCATATTACATCATGATAAGTACTATTCTATACATACAGCATACTCCATACCCTACTCTCTTGAAATACCCCTTAAAAAATGTTTTTCTAGAGGCCTTGGTTTGGGATTCAGGACAAAGTGTTAGAACTAATCATCATGCTTCTAGTAGAGAACAGGGAACTTGTGGTGGTCAGCCAGTTGCCTGTATGCAGGGCACAGCTGTAAATTTTACTACAAAAAGCTATGAAATGCTGCAGTGCTCACATAGTAATCACAGGCCTAATTGCTCTGATTGATATGCAAAGCAGTACAGTTGTTCTTCAAAGACTTGCAAGCCTCACCTCTGTAGTGCAAGGTTAAACAAGTAAACACTGCTAAATGCTGTAAGAAACGACTTGCTTTAGGAAGACTTTGAAATATTGGAGCATAATTAGGTTGCTATTTTCAATTACGCCCTTGAAGACAATTATTTCATTTTCTTCATGCTTTCCTCCAAATGCAAATAATTTCAGTAGCTTCCCACCTTGCTTGCTTTCTGACTCATCATGCAAGTCAGATGCCTTTTTCTGTAACACTCAGAAAAATTACCTCTGTCCCCAGATCTGATCAGGGCACTGTACCCTGTATTTCCAGAAGTTTCTGTGGGTTTATTCATCCAAAAATCTACAAGCTTGTTTATTGCTGCAGCACAGAGTATATTTAACAGCATAGGTCCGAAGTAGACGCTGTGGATTAATTTGTTGCCTATATTCTCAAGGGATAGGAATATTTTTTGGGGTGCTGCCATCCAAGATAGAAATATACTTGGTCCTATTCAACCCCTCTCTATATAAAGTGGCAAAGTGATGTGCTAAAAGGTCTTTGACAATAGCTTCAGCCATCAGCATGAGGGCATATCATATCTCTGTAAAAGCCACTGCCTAATAAACTGAAATCCGTGAGGAGTGGTGGCAGGGGGAGGGTCTGTGCCACTATTAGGAAGTTACCGATCTTCTCACCTGCATCAAAAATGACATTGTGACAACACATGCCTTTTGCTCAGGTTCATATACTTAGTTTCTGCTGTGTGTTTGGAAACAGCTCGGTGCCTTGTGCAGCAGTCCAGAGACAGCTGTGGGGTATTGTCATTGTTGCTGCACTTCTGTCTTTCTCTGTGGAAGATTTTTTTTGCAGTGGCAGAATAGCAGATACAGGGTGTCAGTTAGCAGTGGAGAGGAATTTGGAGCCTGGCAGGGTAATGGTGTATTGGGAGGGCTAAATTCTCTGTTCTTGTTGCCCTATGAGTTAGTTTTGGCTGTAGCCTCTCTAATTGTACAGTCTCCTTAACTGCTTTCCTCTTCAACTGCTCTGGCCATGAAAAAATTATTCAAGAATGTTGTTTAACAGACTTGTGATGATGATTGCTGAATATGAGTTCACATCCACACCTACTGGTCTCCAACAAAAGTAGTTGCATCCAAAGTTGTGTATATGCTGTAAGGGCTGCTCAGAGTCCAGACCACAGTCTGAAATGGTTACAGTTATCACTGTTACAGATACTTATCCTTGTTAGTTCAAATTGCAGGATGCTTTGAAATAAATAGGGTTACTGGAACATTGCTCTTATGCATATGGCTTTTGTATGGCACTGAATATGTAGTTGTTTTTAACTTTTCTCCATTTTGTGCAGGAAAAATTCCACCTGAGAGCACACTGATTTTCAACATTGACCTTCTAGAAATTAGAAACGGGCCAAGGTCTCATGAGTCTTTCCAAGAGATGGATCTTAATGATGACTGGAAGCTGTCCAAGCAAGAGGTGAGTGGGTTACTCTTCTCTTTTGAGCAAATCTAACAGAATGGGATAGTAAAAAGAAAAGACAGGCTTCCCTGTTAGGGAAGTATCTATACACAAGTTAGATTTTAGCTACTGCTGTGCACAGAGCAACTCAACAAGCATAATACACGCTACTCAGTACTTAAGGTACTAAATAAATACTTATTTATTGGGTGATGGACAATTGAGGTAATAATGAGTTGTTAGCTGCAGAACTGATACCATTAATGGTAAGACACCCAAAAGGCCATTGGTGGCCAGGTGGTCATTACTCATGTGGGGAAGGGAGAGCCTCTGTCCTTCTCTGGAGATGACTTTCTTTGTTGTTTGCCTTCCAATTCTCAGCTTTGTTTTTTTTTGCCTTTCATGCTTTTGGCATTTTCATGTTGTTGTCTTTCTTGCTAAATGCTGTTCCTTGCTCAACAATTACCAAGCTACCGTCTGTGGTTTGCCTTTCTTGCTTGGCTTCAGCTCACATACTTACTTGCACCTCAACAATAGACTTTCTCAGTAAAACTAAGTCAAGGATGCACATCTGTGCTGCACTATCCTGAGCGTTGCATCCTAGTGAAAATTCTGGACTTCAAAGGGCTTCAAAAGGAGCTTTGTTAAGCTGGGGTGTAGGCATGTGACCCATGTGTGCCCCAATGTTTATGGGAGACTTGGGTGAAAGCATCTTCGGAATAAAACCAAACTTCAGGGCTTTTTGGAGTTAATTGCTGATTTATTAATAAACTGGAATTAGAAGTTCTGCTGCTGTAGGGCAGTCCTGTTTCATTGCATTCACTCTGTGAAGGATGTGTAGTCAGCATTATTCACCTTCTGTTTGCCTCTTATTTTCAGTCTTCTGCTTTCCCAAAGTGCAAAAATGACCCATGAGAAGCCAGTATAAACAACTGAGTTCTTTTTGATTTGAGCATGGTACGGTTTACTAGACCCAGAAGGCTAATCATTTTTACTATGCACCAGACAATGTCAGGGTGTCTAATATCTGTGTATTGGAAATGTAAGCAATGACCCTAACAAATACCACAGTGTGAAATTAATAAAACAGCCCTGAAACATGGCCTATTTATCTGGCTGTTAGCAGTCCACTGTTACAGTTCTTATATAAGTGGTATCCGTTTCACAGGTGGGTATGTTGGTATTGTTATCCTTGTAGAAGGCTCTGCAATTCAGAACAGTTGAAATCTCAACAGTTAAACCATAGAAACTGAATAAAAATAATCTGATTTTGTTCGAAACACTGCTTACCATTAGTAATTAGCTTAGTGTAGGTAACTGTTCCAGAAGTCTGTTTAAAAGCTACCTTGACTCTTTGTCATTCAAAATTTTGAGATGTCTAGAAATCATTTAATGTAGTTCCCATTAGAGCAGCAAACACTGAGATTGTGACAGATTTCTTTATATATTTGGGGCAACTGTTTACATCTACTGCTTTGTGAAAGTGCGAGGATGTGGAAAAGCTGTTTGGGTGTCTGACCAATTGGTATCTCATAACTTTTGCCTAGCTATTTATACTTTACTGTGTAGACATCAGATGACAAGCTGTCCTGGCTCATTTTTCAGTCAGGTACCATAAAGCTCTGGCAGCAGATTTGCTAGTTTTACTGTCACTTCTGTTACTAAAGACTCTCATCACTGATAGGAGCTTCAGAATCAGTCAGACAAGTATTATTCTGGCAGTGGCACGGGAGGGAAGGTATCTGTTATCTAATACTACCATCCTGATCATGGTGGCCCTCTCTTAAACTGCAGTCATCAATTTTTTCATAAGCCTAAAAGTGTTATCTCTCACCTTTTGTCTAATAGGTGAAAATTTACTTGAAGAAAGAATTTGAAAAGCATGGAGCAGTGGTA